AACAATGTGGGAACCCAAAGGTAAGCAGTTTACACACTCTGTGTGTGTGTATTTCATTTGATCAGTTGTGCCCAAATAAGGTTGATTGGTGATGTACAGACTGTATGTATCAGTCACTTGTCAAAGAAAAATCAGTCTAAGGCTAATGTAAAACTTTGTCTGTCCAATAGAGTTGTAGATATCTAAAAGGATTTCAGTGGAAGACGTCCTTTTGTGAAGGAATCTGTGCAGGAAATTCTCTGTGTTGCCTTCTGCTTTGTTCAACATCAGGAAGACATTTCCAGTACATCTGTTTAATCACCAACCTTGTTGCTTGATATTATTTTAATTTGCTCTGCAGGGAAATAAATGTGTCTTTAACCTGTGTCGAGGCTGCTGTAAGAAGAAGTCCTACAAGGAGGTGGCAGACTGTCCAAGTCAGTACACACACACACACACACACACACACACACACACACACACACACACACACACACACACACACACACAATGTCAGTAAATTGTAAAAAAAGAGTGCTGTGATGTTTTTGACCACAAGCCAATTATATTATCACTAATAAATCTGTTAGCAGTATATTTATTAGGACTGGACTCGAATATTCGATCGTTGGGGACACATTCGTTGACTGTTAGTTCTATTGCTGTTTTGACTCTGAAACTCCCGCCTGTAATTAATGAGTAAATTTAAAATCCATTTTGATAGTAATTTGATCTAAATTATACGCATAATGTAGTTTTAATTTAGCTTGGAATAAACTATTGAAATTATCATTATTTTTTTAGTGGAAATTCTGGTTCGGGTTCGGACTCTATTTTCATTGGAGAAGTGCTAAAATACAAAGAGTAGGACATAAGCACATACCTCTGTTTTTTTGTACCTCCTCACGCACACATGCTGACGTGTTACCATGGTTACCAAATGATCATGTGTACATAGAGGCTGTACATTGCTCAGAGAGATTGTCACATTCTCAATAAGAAAAACGGGTGTTTTAAACAGTAGGTTAGCTTTTGCGTTTAGAGGACCCTCCACTTTAGGCGGTCTCAGTGTGGTTGTTTAGTCCACACCAGAATTAACACCAGCTTAAACAAACTAAACAGGCAAACACACCAGAGTTCATTTGAACTGAACTGAACCAAACTGATTAGATGGGAAAGCACCCGAAGTCACTTAAAGACTCAATCAGTTAATGGAAAAAATAATAATGGAATCAATAATTAAAAGTTATCTCTATGTCCTGTGGTTGACAGGCCACGGGCTGAGGTTCAAGACCAAGGCAGAAAAACAGAAAGCTGAAGAGGACGAGAGGACGGAGAGCTTGTCCACAGAGACAGAGAAAAGCAGCAGCACCCCTCAGCCTCTCCCAGATCCAAGTACAGAGCTGCAGGAGCAGTCCAAGACACAGCCACCACTATGAGCAGGACTGTGGCTATCTCTACATGCAGCAAATCATACAATACATGTAATACAGCACTGAGCTGTCACGTGTAAAAGTCCTCACTGTGTAGGACTAACCAGGTACAAGTGACTTCTTTGACGATCAGACGAGTAATCACAACACCCTCGAAACATTGTGATGCCAAAAAATTAAAGTAGGTTCACACAACATTTCAGCCATCTTGGTCTTCATCAAGTGGTCCCGCATGATGAAGAACAGAACAAACGTCTCTGCTGTTGTGTGGACCTACTTTTTGCTGGCGGTGATGAACACACAAGGGGCAAAGCGTCGTGTTCGTTTGGACACCGGAGAGATGCAGTTGGAGGGTAATTGAACCTTCAGGTAACGAGTGTGCATGTAGGGGGTAGCCAGTGATGAGGCATGACATACAGTATACACAGCTGCTAAGTAACCTCACCAACAAGGGTTCTCCAGGGAGAGCCTATCTGTTCGAGACAGATGGTGAAACATTTTTATTTTATGTGGATTTCCAGGATACTGATTAGCTCGGGATGTTTTGGTGGGACAGTGGGGAAGTGTCACGAAAATGGAAGAGTTACTCAACTAACTCCGTTATTTTTAAGCCAAGCTTTTATCAGGATAAGATAGAACATTATCTTTTCTAAAGTTGTTACTGAGCCACCAAAGTTAATCAACTCAGAAACTGTCAGAGACATGGAGAAAATACCTAGTCCAGGTTTACAGGTTTTATTTTTCATTTAAGGTCATGGATGGGGTTGCATTTGCAACCATTAGTTAACCTATTTATTGTGGGTAAGTGTTTGCCTGTTGTGCACTGACGTATCAATGTGCCTTTTGATGAGAAGTACCACTGCCTGTCCAGATCAACGGGGCCGATCAAAGTGGTGCTCCATCTGCTGTTGTCTAACACATGCTCAGTGACTACACAATCCTAAAGAAATGTATCTAAAGGTGCTAATTGTGCATACAGTGTAAAAACAGACACTCTGGCATTTTGGGAAAAATGTTTGGTTTGTCACCTAGATAGAAAAGAGGCTGTGTATCAAATTCATCTCTAAGCTTTTAGCCTAGCTTAGCACCAACGTTGTAAAAATGAACAAAACTGCTTTGGAGACTTTTTCTTTTGATGGAGGCCAACTGTTTCCTGCGATTCTATGATGTGTGCTAAGCTATCCTAAAAAGTGCCAGTGTCTCTACTGAATGCGCAGACAGATCCTCTCATCTAACTTAAAGCCCATGAAAACATTTTTGCATATCTTAAATATTTCTCTGTGACAATAAATGTTCCAGACAAAATAAGTAACAATCAAAGTTAGAAGTCAAAGTCTGAAAGAAAATCATTTAGGTATTAGTTATCACAAAAAGCTCAGCTAATCTGCTTTGTCAGGACAGTATGGGTTTGGTTTGATCAGGTTTGATTGATGACTTGGCAACATAAATAAACAACCCTGCAACTGTCATCGGATACCTTTTCAAATGTTGATTGTCCTGATCGGTGCACTAATGTATGTGATGTCACCTGATCTGCAACGTAGCCGCACCTATGTCAAAGTAGTAACAGGAGCGCAGACTAAAACACAGAAACAGAAATCTCTTATGTGAAATAACTGAAATAGAAAATGTGTTTTTTGGCATTTAAAGTACAAAAAACATGAAACTGTTTTACGTGTTGTCCAAAAATGTCCTATTGTTGCCTTGGTAATTTTAACTAGTAAAAAAATGAGACTATCCTCAAGACATATTGCAGCCTCTCTACCAACCTCGTCTCTGCATCTTGTTGGAATTACAGGCTGATGTGGGCCCTGTTCTTTCTGCATCTGTTAATGAGTTGTCTTTTTTTTTTATTGATGAGAAATATAGAAGACCAATCATCCTTCAACAAGTCATTCAGCTCAATCAAAGTGCAGGATCAACAGCTGGATCGTGGCATTCAGTGTTTTATCGAGAGGTCGGTCACCTCACCTGAAACAAAGGCCACATTTGCTAAATATTCTTAAAAGTACAAAGGTACTGATTCACATTGCAAATGGCATGTATTTAATGTGTGTGGACATTGGTTTGCATTGGGTTGATTTAGTAGAGGCATTTTTAGAGCAATGTTATTGTGGTTTTCAGAGCTAAACATGTTTTAGAAGATTGTGTTAGTCTGATGCAATTAGTGATTCTTTATTGAAATTTCATAGAAAAGAGTAAAACGGCTGTTCAAGTCAAACACAAGTCAAACAATAATTAATTTGTAAATGTATCATCTTGTATTGATAGAACCAGAAAACATGACGTTAAGTCTCTATGTTTTGAAGATTTGATAAAAAATTACAGGTAAGTCAGATTATTTTACTGTTTATTTGAAATTTGAAATTTTTATCAGTATGATAAAACTAAAGGAAGGTAAGTGTTGCCAGCAATCTGGTTAAACATCAAGGCTTCAAGCTGCTTATCTGAAAGTACCAGAGCCTTTAAAAGTTAAAATGTCAGCTAAATGAATAAATATAAATGTCAGGGTTAATTGATCAATCAGGCTTCTGCGTTTTTGCAGGTTTTGTATATACACTACCAGTCAAAGTTTGGACACAAGCACATTTTTTGTCGGTTAAAAAAAGTTGATCAGAAATACAGTGTAGACTTTGTTAATGTTGTAAATGACTTTGTTGCTGCAAACGGCTGATTTGTCATGGAATGTCTACATTGGCGTACAGAGTCCCATTATCAGCAATCAGCAGCATTGAAATAGAAAACCCTGGCCTTCTCCGCAGAACTGCAAAGAAAAAGCCATATCGCAGGCCGGCCAATGATGTGGAAAGAGTCCAATCAAAAAAAACCCCAAAAGATTAGGGCTTTTCTTTTAAATAACTACATCGTTAATGATGTAGGAACAAAATATTAGGTTAAAACACAAAGGGCCAGCTTTTGCAGAGTTCAAAAAAGCATTTAAGATCACTGATAGGTCCTCACAGATATGATCAATATCTAGTCTCGGTTAGAAAACGAAAACAACAAAGTGAGAAGCACCGGAAGCATGTTGCTTGAAATGAAAAGATTCCGTACAAAATTCAGTGGCTACACAATCTGTGGCATCATTGATGTGCATGTTAAAATGACACCAATGACACTTTAACATTAATGTTAATTCAGGTGTTTCCCTGATAAATATATGAGGAAATTAAAATAAAGAACGCAGGAGAACTGCAGTGAAATATCTGGACTTAGATTGTAGGATTGTATCTGATTATTCTGTTCATATTTGATCTATTTCATATGTCTTATGCATTTTGTAGTCTCTGTTTTGTGTTCTATGTGGTGCTGCTACCTGAGCTGGGACACTCCTGTAAAAGAGATTTTTGATGTCACTGAGGCCCTTTTCTGGTTTAATCAAGTTATAAAAGGGCAAGGAAACTGGTGGCATTCTGTAAAAGTAGTTGGACCCGCTATCTTTATTTGAATTTTGTGTATATCTAAAACTGTTTACAGCATGTAAGGTTATTTCTTAATGTCAATGCTGAACCAATTAAAATGTGAATTCAGCAGAATTCACACCACAAGGATTTGATCCATTCATAAAAACATATCGTGACACCAAAATTGATGCTTCAAAGCTTTAATGCAAAGAATTTAGTTGAGAAAGTACATGTCAACCAGCATAAAGGAAACATGCACTACAGTTCAAGAAGAAGCCATAAAGAGTAAGGTGAGCTGTCAGGTGAGCTGACTGGACAGGAAGTTTAGACCTCAGCGGAGGCTTCCTCGGACTGCTGGATGTAGTACTTGATGAAATCCAGGTACTTGGACACTCTGGTGTAGACGCCAGGACGGCCTGGGAGAGCACAACCGTCAGGACTGCCATAACTCATGATGCCAACCTGCTTGAAGCCACCGCGTGCACGACACACCAGCGGGCCGCCGTAATCCCCCTGCACAAAGAACACACACACTATTAAGTCTTTCCACTTCACATTGTTCTGTTGTATTGTTCGTCCCTTATTTTAACTTGTTGAGTTTACACACAAAAGATAAAGGTTTTGGATGTTATTAGACTGCAGGGAAATTGAAAGTGGTGGGAGGACAGTGCTAAGAAGGTTACCTTGGAAATTGAACAAGTTACCCTATTTAAAATGTAAAAGTACTGTAACTATTTCAATTACTTCAACAAAGTAATGTAATTTGTCTAAAGCTAAGTAAAAGATGACTTTTCTAAATTTCTATTGAATGTTTTCAACTGTTAGCCATTTTAAAAAGACAGCTTGAGAAGCAGTTTAACTGGCAGAGGGGTGACGCTGCATATTCATGATTCAGTCAACATGAGAACCAATCAAAATAGCATCAAATGACTAAGTAAGACACTGTGCACATGGAAAAACATGCAAAGCAACAAAATGAATATTATTTAACATATAGCCGAGCTTTTTACTGAAAATATTCAGATGTAATCATGAACATTTTCATAAGTAACTGCAATTTCATTACACACTTTTCCTAGTCTCTGTAGTGGATTAAAGGTGGATCACATTGTAATTAAATTACGTAACTTAATTACACGTACTCTTAAGTAAATAAGATACAATGTACAAATACTCCATTACAAGTACTACCGCAAAGATACGTCACTTTTTCAGGACACTGTATTTTAAAGATAATTCTATAAAAAAAAATCAAATAACTTTACAGATCTTTATTGTAAAGGGTGTAAACAATGTTTTAATGCTTGTTCAATGAACCATAAACAATAAATGAACATGAACAGCACACAGACGGTAGGCAATAAGGTCACAGTTATAGAAACTAAGAACACTAAAGAGACCTCTACTGACTCTGAACACCAAAAGAAAGATGCCCAGGTTGCTCATTTGTGTGAACCAAGGAGGCATTAGGACTCCCCATGTTGCCAGGGCAAGAAATTGCCCTGAAAATGTCTGTACTGTGAGATGCCTGACGAAGCACTGCAGGGAGACGGGAAGGACAGCTGATCGTCCTCGCAGTAGCAGACCACATGTGACACAGGGCCACACCAGATACTGATACTGAGACACTTCATATGTATTTTACTGATGTAGGTCCAGATGGAGCTAGATTAAAGTACTCTATACAGTTAAGTAGTGTCGTCCAGTGCTTCCCAACCTAGTGCCCCCCCCCACCCCAAAGAGAAATGCATTTATAATTTAACTCACTTTGCAGGCATCCCTCCCTCCAGCCATGTCTCCAGCACACAGCATGTCAGAGTTCACCTCAGGATACTGTTCCTTACATACACTATCAGGGACAAGGGGAATCTTCAGCTCCTGAAGGGTTTCCGGATCCGGCAGTGGAACTACACAGACGCACACACACAGAATAAGTGCAGAGGAGGAAGGTTAGGATTTTGGGATGTGGTTTAGCGGGCGGTCGAAGTTAGTCCTGTATTTATGGCTGGATGTGCCTAATGAATTACACCAAGATCACCCTGTTGGTAAACTAAGCCTTGAGAGAAAATAACTAGGCTATAGTTTGACAACAATGTTTACATTATTCCTTAACTGTAATGTAAGTAGATTATTGGTTAAACTTTTGCAATGGAAAGTATTTGCATATTCACAGATTATTCGTTTTTCAATGAGGGAGAAGACGTTGAAGTCTTCTTGCACTTCTTCCCTAGGCTTTTGATGTGAAAAAAATATAAAATGTCAAGTGTTGATGACGCCCGTTTAACATCATGGATCATGAATACAGCAAAGAAGAAATCACGGAATGTAAAAAACATTCTGAGGTCTTCAAGAAGTAGTCAGGAAATTGTCCAACATTTTAAATAAATTACAACTTACTGTTTTTATAGTCCTACATTGGATTTTGTTTGTTTGAGTTTATAAGCAGGCTTATTGATTTTAAGAAATACACCATTGAAAGAATATTTAAATAAACTATATCAACTAATATAATGAATATATGTAAGTATTCTTATATAAACTATATAATTAAAATATCAAATACAATATGAAATTTCATGGGGAAGGCCTAGGTTACGTGACCTCAGTAATTTTAATGTCTGTTGATAAGCCTATTTGTTGCACTGATATGCAGGGTCAGCCCACGTCGTTTTGTTTTTGAGAATTTACAAAACATGGATGTGTGCGTGTCTATTTGTGTGTCCTTACACAGTGTGTGCACCATATAGGCTACATTACATTCAGAACTTACCCTCATTCCCAATGGTCCCCCAGCCAGTGATCCAACACTCAGAAAAAGAACCGAAGGTGTCGTCGACGGTGGGAAGACTCACTGCGGTAACTTTATTTGAGAATGTAATCTTTTTCTTCAGCTTTATCAGGGCGATGTTGTTCTTATAGCCTCTGGACAGGGCTTGGTAGTCAGGATGTTTTACGTAATTAAGTATACCCACATACTTAACAGCAGCCTTTTGCAGCTTGTGTACGCCGATCCAAACCATTGATCGATGAAAATCAGGCTTAAGGTGTCTGGCAACACAAACACACACATTAGTTTTTTTCTGCAACAAAAATTCTAATATTTTTCCACTTAAATAAGTAGTAGTCACAGGAGACATTGAATTACCTAAATGGTCACATAAATAAGTCACGTATAAAAAGCACTGTTGATTAGTGTCCCACTATAGAAGACAAGCTGGCCCACTAAATCTTAAAGACATGAATGAGGAAAATTCTTGTTGGGTGTGTAAGCCAATTGATTTTAGACAGTAATCAATTCCCTACAAAGCTTTGCAAGAGTATGGGCAGAGTTGCACCATTTCAATAAAAAATGGCATCACTGGTAGGCATGGCCTTTGCTAAAAAGTGACCCACTTTACCTGAACACCCATTCATACACATGGGTTGCCATTCTGTTTATCTACCCTCTGGCAGGCTCCATTAAATGTAGTATAGTGGTCTTGATACACCTATAAATACCTATAATAATAAATGGACTCACTACAAGACACACAGATACAAACATGCACTTACTCATCCAAGCAGTTTGCAGCAGTCATCACCCATTGACTGTTGAGGATGGTGCCGCCGCAGCGCCACCTATTGATGCCATCAGAAGTCATGTTTAGGTGGACCATCCACGGCCAGCTGCTTTCTTTGGCATCATCCCCACCGATGATGGAGCTCCCCACCTCAGCCCCAAGCAAACCTAAAAAAGCAATAATGAAACTCTAGAAAATCTATGTTAAGGGTATCCTGTGGAGTTTCTGACCTCTATAGAGCAGTTTTTATGAGCGGGTCCCAGTTTTGCTTGTCTCCTAAGGGAGGCTACACATGCACACAAATGCATGAGGGTGACAAGAGACACAGTCAAGACATTGGTTTCACACTATTAAATTGATCTACTTCTAGCTTGTAAACATGGATTTAAACCATTCTTGATCCCACTTTAAAATAAAATTGCAAATGAAGAAATGCATTTGACCCATTTGTTCAACTCCAAGGACAATGCGTTTTGATGAGCAACACTGAATGTAAACATAACTTTTGTTGTTTACAAAAAAACATAGACTAAACCATTTAGAAACACAGCATACACAGGCTCCAGAGAAAAGGAAAAGACTTGCTTTCTTGCCTAGAATTAGATGAGAAGATCGACACCACTCTCATGACTGTAGCCTATGTGCTAAAACTCACTAGCTACTTTTGTTTAAGACTAGGTAACTTCTTTGCCAGGAGAAGTATTTTCCACAAGTTTTGTTGTCACCATGACATTAACAGACAGACTTGTTTTTTTATGTGCTGTTTTTTGCCCTTCAGTTTTTGTAGAAATTACACAAAGAATATATTATGTGATGATTAGTGAGCTTTAATGTAGGTTGGCAGATTAGGTACCTTTAGGTAGCTTTTTCCCCCTGTGCGCCCAGCCTTTATGCTAAGCTAAGGTAACCGGATCCTGGCTGTAGCTTCATACTTAACGGACAGATATTAAATAGCAGTGTCAATATTATCATGTAACTCTTGGAACGAAAGAAAATAAGCATATTTCCCAAAGTATCAAAATGTTTTTGTTTTTTTTAATCTACAATAAACACACTGCTGGCACACATTTCTAAACACAGAAATCAAACTAAGATGTCCAGTCATCACCAATAGTCAAATAACTTCCAATATCAGTAAAATAATTTATAATTACAGGGCATGATATTGATATCTCATCTTCTGATTTGTAAAATAACAAATTGGCCAAATAAATCAACACTAAAATTTGTCTAGACACTAAAATAATGTTCTCCAGATGACAACCTGGACATTTGTCTTTCTCACCTTCAGTGTTGTAGATGAGCACCAGCACAGCGAGAAGTCTGCAGAAAGCCATGGCTGTGATGCAGTGAAGCAGTGGTTCTGCAGGCTGAGAGGCAGCAGCTGCAGCTTTATATACACAGCTGGAGAGATGAAATTCTTATCAGCACTATCAGCCTTCCTTTTCCTCTCAAACCACACCTGGAAGTGGAAGAGCACATTTACTCAAGTACTGCTCATTTACTGTTGCAGTTTAGAGTGAATACTTGAATAAGATTAAAATTCAGAACATTGTATTTGCACTTCTGACCAAAATATTGGCAAAGTTTTAATAAGACTAGACTGAATTCTGGTCTGAAGTAACAGTTTAAAAAAAAAACATTATTGTCCACTTGTTGTCCTCTGAATAGTTTATGACATAGTAGAACATAGTTCTAAGCAAATATAAGGACATTTTTAAAGTTCTGATTGTTTTACATACATTTTTACTGTGGATTTGTCAACAACAATAACTCAGGAAACATCACGATGTATAAATAGTTAATAAAGTCTTGGTAACACAGTACAGTGTAACTGTTATTAATTGTTATATCTAGCCTACAAATCATAAACAGGCGGTTTAAAGCTTTTTATAAAGTCATGGAGATATATATTATCATTATGTAATAATAACTGTATGTCATAAAACATTTATTAACATTCTATACACCAGTTGTGGCTGCTTCGTAAGAGGAGTTATAGTAACAAATACACTAATAAAAACATTAAAATATCCTTGACTTGAAACAACATTAAACTACACAATGTATTATTAATTGTATATATTGTATTTTATTATTTTTACGTTAATTTTGTTTTAAACCATTTATTGAGTGCTGATGTACTGATTTATTGTTAAATAGGCGGGTTTAAATAGGCACAAATCTATCTATAATACAGCTTGTGGTGCTGACAGCAGGGACCCGAATCACAGTTGCCGCAAAGCCACCACGAATAAAACTGTTCAAAATTAATGAAAAAAAATATCTGTCTTTACTACAAAATACTGTAATTTGCATAGCAAGAATAATAAACAAGTGCCCAGCTACGTTTGTCTCCTAAATAACGTCACGGAACGGGAACGGCCAGGGCTGGTTTTGTTTCCGCGGGAATTTAATTGTACGAAACACCGTGTTTCATGTGACGTCGTCAAAGTTTACAAAAATGTATCCCAAATAGGAGCTAAAGCGACACAAAACCGAGCTCATAGTGACTGGTGAATTTACCGTCTGTGTTCACGACAGCTTACTGAGCTACTTAGCTTCCAGTCTAAGATGTCAACCGGGTAAATGTGTTGTAGGAACGGTAGTTTGAAGTGTTAGCCCGGCAGTTTTATTCCTTTTATCCCGTGAGTCCACAACATGGACCAGACAGCCAGCGTCAACGCGGATGTTGTTCAACGCTCTGACCTTAATGGTGGGTCTGTCATCTGTCCGCAGTGTGTTTGACTTGATTAAGATGAAATTATATCAGTCGCTAAAGTCTTGTTTATCTATTATTTATAGGTCGGTGCACACAATGGCGTAACAGGACTGGCTTTTGGTGAGTGTCAAACTAACGAAGCCCACAGCTTCCTCTCACTGTCGGTGTATCCATCAACTCCTACATTCACTGTCAGACAAATGGAGGGAGCAAAGACCTTCTATTTGATGTTATTCATATTTAAGACAGGAAACCCTCCTTGCAGCTCCTGACAACTTTAAATATTTAAGTCAAGTAAATAAAAACAGTTTCATTTTCATTTTCAACCTAAACGTCATGGTAAAGAAATATACAACAACATAAGGAGGGAAAATGTAGTCACAAATAGTGAAATCTGGTTAAAGAGGTAATTAGTGCTACAAATAGGAAAGGTAAAAATGGTATTCACATTATTAATTTTCAGTGATTATTTTAATATTAATATTAAAGTAGGGTATTATTTTCCAACACCATTTAAGTACTAACTTAAGTACTAAGTACTTAAGTAACTGAAATAAGTCAGTTAAATCAAGTGTCAAAAAGAGTCAATTATCAAAAGTTGGCTTTGAATTCTAGTCCTTATCTATACTTGTTTTTCACATCTAAATTCAATTTTCATTCAAATTTTTATTTTGGAAATGTTCTTGTAAAAACATTAAACACTGATGCATTAAGAAGTTTGGCATGCATAAAAATGAAAATGAATGCGTATATTGCTTTAGGTAATGAAAAAAGTTTATAGGTACTGTTCAAAACAATGTTTGTTTTTTTCGTGGGAAGGGCGTGCTTGACGGGATAAAGGCCTTTGACAAAACTGAAGTGGGCACAGCATGTAAGCTTAACTTGAAAAACAAAGCTTTCTAAAGATTGCTATTTAGATCTGCAGGTCTTTTTGTGTTTTCTCAAAGTGAAACTTCTCGGCGTAGTTGTCAGTTATTGATGCATTTTAATCTGCTTACCCTGTGTTACCTTTCACCTCTTCTGATTACCTCCTCAGGCTCCTTGGATTGTGCAATAACTTTGCTTATGTGGTAATGCTGAGTGCCGCCCATGACATCCTCGAAAAACAAGAGTCAGGAAACACCACAGCATCTGTAAGAACCCAAATTTATAGTTAGATAGTATGTATTAGCAATTGACCCTTGTTATTGGTACGGGGCTGTTGAGATATAAAGCTATAATTATTTTTGTTATTTTTCTAGACTTCAGCCAAATTGGCCGTGAATTTCCAAGGTGGGAACAGCAGCAACAGTAGCCGCTATGACTGCAATCCTGTCTCTACTGCGGTAAACAGAGATTCACTACACAACACCAAATGGCCTAAACCCCTATACAGAGAATTATTTGTTTCTTACTTTGAGGTTTTGGGAAAGGCGAGAAAAGAAAGAAGTCAGCAGTGGTGGCTTCCTTTTTAAAAATGTTTTTTTTTTTTTTTTAAAGCAGAAAATAAAATGAGTAAACAGGTACTGAAACTAAAATGACAATAAAACTAGAAACCAAAGTACCAGGATTGAAACTTTAGCTCTCAGTACTGCAGAATCCCACGGTGCTGTGAGGCTCAATGGCAAAGGGAAGCTTGAAAAGAGAAACGCATCCAATCCACAAAAATAAGCAACTTTTAACACGGATGTTACCACGGCACCCACAACGGGAACCGTTGCTTTAGCCAACTATTAAAAACTCCACAGAAATGTAAAACTTTTCCTTCAGCATTTCTGATTAGACGCATCGTATTTGAAATATAAGCACTAATGATTTGAAACATGACATCAAACTCTTCAGAGGCAAACACATGCTGTTACTCTGACAGTTCTAATGCATTTCTCCTCAGGCTGTGCTGTTAGCTGACATCCTCCCAACACTATTCATCAAGCTGTGTGCTCCCTTTGTGATCCACAAAGTGCCCTATGGGTAAGACAAAGGTTATCACTGTTCATAAAAAATCAAGGCCATCTGTAAATTGAAAAAAATTCTCTGCATAGTTTTGCAACTTGCTTTTTTTCAATCTCAACCTGATTATTTACAAAAATTATTTCATTAATTTAATTAATTAATTAATTAAGGTTTTGATTCACCCAAATAATACTAAAGTGACTCACTTCCAGTGTAACTGTATGTAGCTAATACAGAGTTATACCTACAGGTTAAAGCCAGTCCATATTTTGCATATCCAACAGGCATCGCATCATTCAGAAACATTTTGGCACTATATGTTAAAATGTGGTGGTTATCGTGGTGCCTCACATTACTTTTTACAGTTTTTTGTAATCTTTGTCAGGTTCAAAAAGTGCCCAAGGCCAGGTCTTTATTTGGAACAGGCTTATATTCCCTGGTTAATGCAAACTCAGCATTTCTTCCATGTTTATCTGTTGTATTGATACATTCAGCATAATGCACATTTCATTCACTAATTCTTTCCAGATTCCACTCTGCTGTTTTTGTATCACAGTCAAGTTACTGTCATGCTTGTGCTGGCTACTATTTGGAATTATACCAGCTTTTATTTTATTTGTATTTACAGTACACACCCACACACACACACACGTCACTTTATGCGGTTTGAATACTGTGTACTCTGTAAGTAATTTCACAGGGACTTAATATATATAACAAACTGCATAATATAGCAAAATGAATATTATCCAAATTAAAGCATGGTCCTTTAATGCTTTTGTACTACGAGTATTGTACTGTGTTGTAAAGTTCCCTCCTAATTCCTGTTGTTCTAGTATCCGAGTGTTGCTCTGTTCCATCGTGGCAGCAACAAGTTTCCTTCTTGTGTCATTCTCCTCAGCTATGTGGATGAGCATTCTAGGTAAAGCAAACTTTTTTTTTTTTCATAGCTTTTATCATGACTGGTGGTCACACTGATGATTGATTAGATGCAGTTCAGCATCTTTTGCCTCAGTTTAATTTCCTGTCATCTTATCTCTGCGGTTATTCCACAGAAATAAGATACCATTTTAGTCTTATCATGACCCGCAGCCAAATTCTCATCACCATACTAACACTGACCAGTGAACTGGTGTTTAAGTTCAAGCTTGTGTTTTACATGCATGTAAATGTAAATAAATAATGGAACAAAACACAGATACAGATGCATTTTTTTTAGGCTGCAAAAGTTTGAAACCAAGGTCCTCTTTCTCCTTGTCAACACAAAGAGGTCAGAGTCCAGGAAAGCTGAAAGACATTTTGTATTGTCACTATTTTCAACATGTCCTGCATGATATGACGGACATGTCCGCAGTCTGCAGAAATGTGTGTCACATCACCCTCTGTTCACAGGCTCACTGGGGAGACAACAAACCCAGGCCCCTGGTCGGACAGGGCCAGATTAACCTCCTTAGGAGGCCCTAGGACAAAAATGAGAGCGCTATGGGCCCCTGTTTACAACCCTGTTGCTCCCACTCTGTTCACGCTGTATACAAAAATGACAGTTGTGACATTTAACCTTTCAATGATGACGCTTAATGATGAGTGTCCGACCTCAATTTACTGCTGACGATAGAGTAAACTATGTTGATTTTACAGGTAGAAGGGAAACAAGGGTCTTGCAGGGTAACCTTCATCTGTAAAAGTAAACAAATGCAGCCTGCCATCTACCATAGACATAATTTTTGTTACCATGAGTTGCTGTTGTGGAAAAGCCACAGGTGGAACTCATAACATTGTCCCTGT